AAACACGTATAGATATAGGGAGACCTTTTTTAAAAAAGACAAAAAAAAAAAAAAAAAAAAAAGTCATTATGAATTAGAACTTGGGAGAAAAATCTTAATCTTTCTACACTTCAGTTTCTAGTTATAAATCTATTTCCTACCTTAGAAGAATGTTAGAATTATTATTTTTAGTGTTGTTTATATTTTTCTTCATTGCTGTTATCAAAACTTGACCCTTGCAGGTCCCATGGTAAACATTCACTCACCAAACCTTTCCTGAGTGGCTAAGTTCAGAGTTCACATGACTGAGCATATATATGTGCCAGGTACTTTTCCAGGTAGGATGCATTCCCTCCTAATGATCCTGAGGCAGGGACTATTATGACTCCCATTTTACAGATTAGGAAAACAAGGTATGTTACACAGTAATCAAGGGCTGAGGCTGGGACACAGGGCTTGGTAATCTGGCTTTAGAATCTGCATTGCAAACACAAAGCTGAAATGCTGGATGTTAAGCAGTCAGGACACATAAAGAGTCCCAAGTTCCAAAGGGTCTAACAGGGAAACAAATGAATCAACCCAAACTTAGAATATTCATATACTTGAAATATTATATACTTAATTACAGTCCATTCATAACATAATTACAGTCACCTCCTTCAAACACATTCTTCTCTCATGAGTCTTCTCTCTCAGTGGGCTACTCTCTACACTTTGCTGCTCAATCTCTAAATGCTGAAGAACTTCACAGGCTGGGCTAGGACCTCTTTGTTCCCATCTATACTCTCCTCCTAGGTAAGATCAACATGGTCCATAGCACTGACTATGTCAAAGACTCCCCAAATCTTACCTCTGGCCATTCAAGTGGCAGAAACCAGCTGCTGACAGGCATGTGACTGTATATGTGTGGAATGGGGAGTGCACATGCATATGTGTTCATGCATGTGGAAGCCAAGGGACAACCTCTAGTGTCAAAATTCCATAGGCACTGTCTACCTTCCTCACCACTCCACTTTCCTTTTTTTTTTTTTCTTAAAGATAGGACAGGGTCTCTCATCGGCCTCAAACTCCCAAATAGGCTAGGCTGGCTGGCCATCAAGCCTTAAGATTTACTTGTCTCCACCCACCCAGCACTGGGATTACAAGTGCACATCATCACACCCAGCTTTTTTACATAGATTCTGGGGATCAAACACAAGTCCTCCAGCACTTTACTGACTGAGCCATCTCCCCAGCCTAACCATGGTTGAAAAGGTTTTTGCAAGTTCTCATCCTAGTCTACCTGTTTTTAGAGTAGGCATTTTGTTTATTTAAGCACAACAATGAAAGTTACCATTTCTTTTAAATTTATTATTACTACGGTACGTGAGTACAGGTATGTGCATGCCATGGCCCTTGTATGCAGGTCAAAGTTCTCTCCTAACCTAAGTTCCAGGGAGTAAACGGGCTGTCAAGCTTGCCAGACAAATTCTTTTAACTGCTGAGCCATCTAGCTGGCCCATTTTGGTTTTTACTCATTAATTTTTTATTTACTTACTTATTTTTTGGTCTTTTATAGACAGGGTCTCCTGTAGCCCCAGCTGGCTTGG